GAGGGTGGTAGATATGGTCACCGGAGTAGAAGTGGTATCGACCTAGAAGCACGGTGCGTAGGCGGGCCAGAAGCCACCTGGCTGGCTACACATAGTCGCAGGAAGGGCGATGAAAATTACGGGAAATGGGGATTGCGAGAGCAATGGGATGCTAGCCTGGAGCAGTAAGCGCAAAAGCGCGTGTGCAAAGTTGGGAAAAGGGTAAGACAAGGTCACAAAGGAGCACCCGACACGCAGCATGCATAGGCCTCCCCGAAGCTTGGCCTAGGCAAAAGTAGCCAACCGGTAACTAGCAACGGGTTACATACGGCAAACAACAGGTCCAAGGCGAATTTGACTGGTAAATGAGTTCAGGGTTCACCATTACACGGCGCGCCGAAAGTTAGCGACTGTCTGAAGCTGCAGAACTAAGTGTAAACGGCCAATGTGCCAAGCAGAGCCCAATGTGAACGAGCGATAAGGAGAGGAGAATCATCAAGCCAGTCTAAAGTGGATCGGTGAAGCTGAAGACAAACAACCTAAACCAGATGTCGAAGCAGAATGTGTGCTAGCTCGTACGAGTTGGTCAGTAGGTGCAGATGAAGCTCCAACGCGCGTAACCCGACCGTATGGGAGAAAACGGCGCACAGGAGCTGGCAAACAGGTCGGCTGGTAGCGCATAGCCAACCGTCAGACACCGCGATTGACCAGACTAACTCTGAGGAAGTTGTTGATAGGAACAAGGTTGGGATGGTTCGAAACAAAGCTGCCTTTGTGAGGCCAGCGGAGGGACACAACGCAGCGGGGGATAACTTGTGTTCCAATAAGTAGGTTCTCCGCGACGGCCAGGGGAGTGGGACGGAAGGTGATAGGTTGCCCGTCGTGGCAAAGCGTCGTTCCTGACGTAAATGTGCGCGTTAACAATATACGGTGATGTGGGGGAAGGCGACTCACGAACTAACGGAAAATCACCACGGCTTCTGAGCACGGAGGCAGTCCAGCAGATCGATTCCGGAGATCAGGGATGCGCTGGACCCCCATTTTTGGCAACTAACCAAAAGCAATGGGTGTGGAACCGAAATACTCCACAGCATCTCCCACACCCGCGATGTCGTCACAATGAGGCGGGTAGTCCGCAGCCCGGCGACTAACTTACTTACAGATGGGCATAGGCTAAGCTGCCCCCATAATGGCTGCGGGAGTGCGTGCTCACCCTAAGTCCACCTCTCGAATTACTTGCGGCTTCATTATCACTGATCAACTCAACCATCGAGCTATTGTCAGCGCTGAAAGAAGTACGAATCAAAGGGCCAAGGGCTGATTATCCGAGGTGGATGGTAGAAGGACAAGGCGCAATAAGTTGGGTCAACATGTTCAGACTAATAACCAAGCTTCAGCGACTCAGTGGTCCGGCAGAGAACGTGGAAGAACCACCAGAGTACTGTCACTAAAAGTTCGCGATCCCGCCGGTAATTAGAGGCATTACAGTCATGCTATATGCCACGCGGGGCGGATGTGGGGTTATTGCAGGGGCTTCGAAAGGATAACGACCACAGTAGATGATTTTGAAGGGATACAGGCGCATAAAAAATGAATTGGGCGCGTAAACGCGGGTAGGGGCAAGTGCAGAGCAGTGGGACAACTAGGGAAGCTAGATACGAACCTTAAAACCCCATAAAAGTACGTGACATGGGTAAACAGCTCAAAGGAAAAATGCCAGAAGGAACCATCCGGCGCAGCCTGGGCGATGGCCGAACAGTACAGGTTTGCAGCCTGAATTGCAAGACGAAAAGAGTCTACTACGTGTCAAAGATATTGGGACACCATACTAAAAAGGGGTGTGTGTGACAACCCTAGGGCAAAGATAATCCAGAAAGAGGGGGCTGTCGCGCATATATGCACAGAAGGGGAGCGGAGGTGGGCAAAAAGACCAGCGGAAGAATGAATGAAAACAAGCACGAGTATGTTGTGAATAGGACCAGTATCTGGTTCGAATGCCTACCGGAAGGGATGTCCACTCGAGGAGGAAACCACATACATCGGCCTATGCAAACGACGGATAAATGTCGACGAGCAAAGTACACTAGCAGAATACGCCAAGTCCCGGCAGTCCGGAACACAACCTCTGTAGTTGAAAAAACTGCGTAAACGGTGGGAGTTCCGAGCGCATGTCCTCCCCACATGCCGATGGACCAGAGTGGTCACCTAAACCAAAGCAGCGGATGAACGGTCTTGACAAAACTCTACAAGTAGACTTCACTACAGAGAGGGGAGGCCGAGCTTTTTCTGTAAGGTTGATGGGGGGTCAATACTAGAGTGGACATACGGCTAGGAAATGAAAGCGAGTCAAGTTAGGTAGACAAAGGTAGATGCAATACCCCGCGTGCTTAGGGCTTACAGCTAGTTTGTCCGGTGGTCGATATCCTAATATCGGGATTGTCTAGAGCTATGGTCTGGGAAAGTTGTAAGCAAGAGAACTGTGGTGCGATCCGTGGAGAGAAGGAGACGCATGTCAACAGCAGTGGATTGTATGATGTTGTTCCGTGATATTAGTCTTTTCAGTTGAATACTTTGTTATTGGATACTAAGTAAGCATAAATGGCCGGCCGCAGGAAGGATGTCACCAGCTGGCCCTTATAGAAAGACGGGTTCACAGTGAGTTTTGAGAAGCCCAATTCCTGGATGTCTTCCAAACTGGCTGCCCGGATAGGGATCAGCACAAGTTAGGTCAGTTGTCGGAAATGGTATGATGTATAGAGGTGTAAGTCGAACAGCTAAATCTGTCATATGCGAGCGCATGGAGTAATGGTCTAATTGTTGGAAGTTCGCGCACTCATGTATGTGCTGGACCTTCGTTCTTATAAAAGTACGCCAATGTATCGACGACCTGTGGTTAACGAGTCAGAAAAGTTAGGGGACCCGAACACAGGTACCAGTCCCTTCAGGTAGAATATATGTACCCACACGACGAATAAAACCGTTCCTGAGTAACCCGGAAACGGTAAAAGGTGCATCCACCCTTGCACAACTTATGCCGAAAGAGCACACAGTGAGCCCTTCGGTAAGAGGACAAAATTTCACACGGTGGCACTTTGAGTGAGCGGCATGTAATTCACCTTGAGGTGTGAAAACCCGAAACTAAAAAATCGTTAAAAGAGGTAGAAAAACGCAAAAGAGGGCACAAGAAAGTTGATTTCAACGAGTAAGGCACAACTGAAAGCCCCAATTGACGCGCCAGCCTCCAACGGCGCATATTGGACCCAATGCGGGGCCCCAGCCCACTTGGGCGAAGAACACATCCCCTGCGGCTTACACCTTGGGAACGTCTGATTTGCATCTAGATCGTCTACGAGCAACGCCACCGCCATCGGAATGGGGATGCTAGTGAGAAGGGGCACCGAAAAATTGGTCGGGTAGTCACAGCACAGCAGAGCGATTCGGCTGGAAGCTAGCCGCCACTCCAACTGCGGCGAACGACTAAGTCACAGCCATACACATCGGTATTTGTGAGCTCAAACATATACAGGCCAAGGTTCCTCTCGGAAGAGTTGGCTGCAACCTCGCGGGCAACGGACATTGACCACGAGGCACGGTTCTTCTTTTCGCTTTCCCCCACCCGAATGGCTCTCCACAGCGCCGCACTTGCACCTGAAGAGACAAACCTGGGACCAATAATGCGTCGCAACAATTTGAATGAATGGTCGCCACCCCAATACGTCCACGCGTCAGTACCACGCTGGACTCTTTACGCCCCTAACATTGCAGTTTCATACATGCACGGTAGCCTAACCACGCCATAAGATAAAATTTGTGAGAGTGATGGTCTCGCCAAGGTAGATGGACATCCAAGAACCTCTGCTCGGGATCACTTATAACTTTGAGGATACATAGTGAGGGAGCCCGCAGGCCTTTACAGAAAGTTACCCGCTCAAGCTGGCTCCATTGTCCTAGACTGAGCATAACCTGTCAATCATCTCCAAGGTCGACTCACTACACATGGCCGCACGCCTGAACCGTAAACCTGAACTCTCTAGTGTCATGGTCTCCAGCAATTCAGGTAGATTGTCAGAAAACTTAATACAGATATCCGTTCATGGATGCGACATTATGAGGCAGGTACTAAGCAACGCCGCTTTGAGAATATCAAAGGCAGAACGCTTGAGAAGAGTTATAGAAAAGAGTGGATAAGGAAGGACTTCATGTACCTGCGCTTGGCTCAAACGGTGGCGAGTCTACAGATTGTGTTAGGGGGTGGATATAATCAATAACGACGAGTCGCAAAAAAGGTTCCTTCGACTCCAATGAAATTGTAACAATTGAATGCTTGTCCACAAGGTGCACATCTGCAAGCTTGTAACCGAGTGCACATCGTCAACTTGAAAGCAAACCAACTACTCGAATGTGACCGACGAATCAAGCAAATAGAGAACTTGGGCTCGCATCAAAAATCGTGCGTTCGGTTTGTAAAGCAAGTGACACGATGGCAAACAAAACACGTGTACGTTTGCAAACGTGCATGATAAATTGCGTTGCATCCCATTTAGATACTTAGTCACGGTGAA